GAGTGGAAGAAGCAAATAAGAACAAGCTACAACAATATGTTGATAACCAGAGGGAAAGCGAGTAGAGGCAGGTAGAGAGGGTAAAGGGGGGTAAATGGTGATGAAAAGAGACTTGACTTGGGTGGTGAACATACAATACATATGATGTGATAGAACTGTACCTCTGAAACCTACATAACTGTATTAACCAGTGTCACCCCAATAAATTCAGCAAAAGAAAAAAAGTAACAAGCTAACAAAATACTGACTATGAAACTTACCCTACACACCACTGAATATGAAGCAGGTGATTTCAGTTAATGTACACTCAGCATTTACTCAGCACCAAGCATGGTACTAAGCATTTTGCACGTGCTCACTGACCCCACCATCACCATTTCACAGGTGAACATATTCAGAAGCTGGGTGATAAAAATCAGTTGCTCAAAGCTGGCAGAACAAGGAATCCCAAGCTGTCTGACTCAGAGACTGCCTTTGGGGTTTTGGGGTTTGTTTTTTTAAAATTTTATTCATAAAATTTTCAGAGAGAGGAGAAGGGAGAAAGAAAGAAAGAGAGGGAGAGAAACATCAGCGTGTGAGAGAAACATCGATTGGTTGCCTCTCACATGCCCCTAACTGGGGACCTGGCCTACAACCCAGGCATGTGCCCTGACTGGATCAGACCTGCGACCCTCTGGTTCATAGGTTGGCACACAATCCACTGAGCTACACCAGCCAGGCTGCCCTTGGTCTTAATCACTCTGCTCTTCTGCTCCCCATCCAGGACCACCATGCCCCCTTCCCACCAACCACAGACACCTGGCTTACCTCCACAGAATAGGAGAGCTGAGCACTCTGGTTCTTACTAACACGAGAAAAAAGGTCCTCGCAGAGCTGGAGAGAACACAGGAAAGCTGCTGTTCACAGCGCACCTGCAGCACCCAGCCCCAGCCCGGGCCCTGCTGAGCCCTAACTCAGCCCTGAGGGAGGCATCGTTCCCGTTTTACAGATGGGAAGGCAACCTCAGAGAGGTTCACGCTTGCCCAGAACCACAGGCTAGTATTTGGTGAGCCAGGAAGCAAACTCAGGCATCCTAACTCCAGAGCCTGTGTGTGAGGCTACCACACTGCACAATCAGGGAAAATTATGGCCAATTCCCAGTTAGCCACAACTGGCTTTTTCTAGTCACCACCTTAACTATGGCACACCAGTCTATGGGGAAAATACACTCACAAGTGATTGTGAGACAAGGTAAGTAATAAGTGATAGAGCCAGGATTCAAAGCAGGGCTATCTGATGCCACAGATTTGACTGTTCTTGCTGAGCCTTATTGCTTCTGGTGAGGGTCCTGGATGTCCAGGTTGCAGGCAACTCCGATCCCCTATCACATTCCCTGTCACCAAAGGCCTCAGAGAGCCAGCTCTTTGCTCCATAATCCTTAGACCTCTAGGGACAGCTGAAGGTGCTTCCAGCTGCCTTGCTAGGTCCCAGCATGTACCTGGGGCACAATACCCTGCTGCCCTGGCTCCTGCCGCCCCATCATGGTGTAGGATTTCCCAGCCCCGGTCTGCCCATAGGCAAAGATGCACACGTTGTAGCCTTCAAAGGCGTGGAGCAGCATCTCTTCTCCAATGTCCCGATATACTTGTTGCTGAGATGCAAACTGGGGGTCCTCAGCCTAGGTGGAAGGGAGCAGAGAAAGAGCAGGAGCCCTACATGACTCTGTCCTTAGTGCTGGGGCCCCAGGAGCCCTGCCCCCATCACTAATGATTGCCCAAAGGTCCTGTGTGCTTCCCCACCCCCACCCACAGTCCTGATCATCCCCGAGGGTCCTATCCAATCCTGTGCTGGTCCTAATTATCACACAAGATTCTGCCTCTCTCATCCTGGTCTCTGTCACAATCTAAGGGTCCCGCACACCCCAATCCCAACCAATCTCCCAGAGGTGTTATTTCCCTGCAATGGCCCCTCCCTGGGACCTAAATCCCGTCCCCCCACTGTTTAGCTCTTCCCCAGCCCAACCACCTCACCGAAGTGTGTGACCAATAAGAGTAGTCGAAGGTGAAGCTTTTGGGGCCATCCTTGCTCTGTTTGGGATTGATGATGGCTGAGGGGGCAGGAAAGGGCAAAGGAAGACCAAGGTCAGGTACTCCCAACCTCTGCCCACCCACCACAAGCCCCCAAATCCAGGCATCCTACTACTCCCCTCCTCTGTCCTAGCTCATCTCTCCCCTTTAATACTCCCTACCCCTCCCGCACCAAAGCTAATTTTGGCTTCCTAGGGCCCGCCCCCACCAGACTGCCTCCTTGGATTGGGCAATGGAGGGCTCCAGGCCAACATTCCCCCTCCCAGGGACTGGGAGCATGGAAAGGCCAGCCTGTCCCAACCCCCACCCTCACAACAAGCACCTGCTCTGTGCTGGGCAGAACCCTACTCCCGGTTCAGCCCAGCAGACCTGGCCTGCGTGGTGGGCCTGGCCCACCCCGCCTGTGCCCAGCCAGGCTCCTGGGACTCACTCACAGGTGGTGCTGCCCTGCATGCTGACCACACACTTGGCATCCTGGCTGGTCTCACGGGCATTGAAGGGTCGAACCCTCACTGCCACTTTCACCGAGGCACCAGTCATGGCTCCCAATACTCCCACCCTCCTCAGCTGGAGAACAGACACAGAAGAGGTGGTTAGAACTGCTGGGGGGACCCATGCATTGACTCCCAGCTTCTCCAAAAAACCAGTCTCTCATCCCCCATTCCTCAGCTACTCAACCCCTCAAGAACCCAGTTCCTAGTTCTCTGGCCCTCCTCCCAAACGTCACTCTCCTGAGGCACTCCCAAATGTGTTTCTACCTCTCTCCCTAGTCATACCCCAGCTCACAGTTACCTGTCGTCCCGGCCCCAGACCAGGGGGGCTGTATCAGCTCTGGCTGCCACCAGCCCTCGTAGGGAGAGCCCCATCCTACACTTGGGGCCTGGCCACGGCAGCTGGGGCTGTGGGGGAAACCCTGGTTGTGGGGGAAGAGTGGTTAGGAGGCACCTGTGGCTCCAGAGGTGTGTTTGGGGTTGCATGACTGGGGACATGGGGTGGGGGCCAATGTTAGAAAAAGTAAGGATGGCTGTCCCTCCAGAGTGGCCAAATGCAATGTGAATTCAAGGGCAGAGATGGTGATATTTTTATTCCTCATCACTCACAAGTGTACTGAACGTCATAGAGGAGAGGCTGGACAGAGGGCAATTCAGAGAAAGGGACACATGGGCAGAGACACTGAGGGTGGCAGGAAGGGGGAAGAGGAGGAGCAGAAAGGCACAGACACCAAGCAAACAAGACACAAGAGAGAAGGCAAGATTGAGGTCAGGCTATGAAGGAAGTAAAGGGAGGAAAAGGAAGGAGAGACACAGAAATGGTAGAACAGACAGGAAGATCTCCTTGGCAAAAGCACAAACTGGGAGGCCAGAAGAGAAACAAGAGGAGAGAAAATCCCAAACATAAAACCTGCCCTAAAATTCCCCCACAGGGTTAGCCAGGGAGAAGTAACAACCAGTTCCCACCCAGGGCCCACAACCTCCACAGAGGAATGGATTACTGATGGGCAAAGTTCAAGTGCTGGAGGTAAAGCCCAGGACTGCGATCTGCCTGCGGCCCCAAACCCCTTGCCCAGCCCCCAGCACTTCCTCCTCAGGATCCAGGACAATGGGCAGGAGAGGGTGGGGTCATCCTGCATCCCTCAACTCCAGGGCTCCTCGGGTAAGGAAGGCAAAATACCTGTGCCTTTATGGGGAGCGAAGAGTAACCTTAGGTTAGGGTCTGTCTCCCGAAAGAGGGAAAGAAGAAAAGGAAGCAGGCAGGTCCCAGCCCCAGCCTGAGGCTAACGCTATGGCAGCGTCCACTGATCTGGGGAAGGTGCCAGACGGGAGCCCAGGAATGTGGGTGATCGGGTGCCCACACCCTGGGAGGAGAGGCTGAGCAGCCCACGCCCACGGACAGAGGGTGGAGAGTTGTGGAGAGAGATTGGGGATGCTGGGGCCCCTTCTGAAGCCCTAAAGGACCTCAAATTCCTGTCATGTTGGTTGGGTCTCACCTCTCCAGCTTTGGGGGTGGGAGCGCAGAGAGGGCTGGTTTGTCCCAGGACAGGAAGGGAGTAGCTGAAATTAGAGGCTTTCTCAGGAAGAACAGCCCTGACCCCAAGACCCTGATCACAGGGGATAGGGACATTGGTGGGGACACGCAATGGTGACGCCGGTCGCCGCTGCGATTGATGGGGCAGGGAATGGGGTGGCACAGCTGGGATATAGCGGGGCAAAGGACTAGAGAATAGGTACAGGGGTGGGCCGGTGTACCGTAAACGAGCAGTGGGGTACACGGAGGAGCTGCGGCTGAGGAGGGTCCGACCCACCCGAACAGGAGCCTTGGGCCACCTGAACCTTGCGTGCTGGCAGTTCTCACAGAGGCCCCGGTCCCGGCCTTTCTGAGAGGCCGTGCGTACCCTGTCCTCCTGTCCAGCCAACCGACCGCTGCCCCGGGCCTGGCACCTCTCCGCGCCTCCTCAGGACAAACAGCACATGATCTCGGGTCTCGCGGCCAGCCGGCCCCCGCGGGGTCGTGCTAACTAGGACCCCGGCTCCCCACCCGCTAGCCCGACACATTCCTCCGCGGGCGTCCCCTCCCTCAACCCCCTCCCCCAGCTCTCACTTCGAAGCGTCAGGGCTCCCGGAGCGACTCGGCACAGTGCAAACAGACAAACTTTCCGGGAAGCGTGAGACGAGAGCGGGGGAAATCCGGGGCCAGTTCGGGGGTACCCCCGCCCCTCGCCGGGTCCCCGGGCGGCGGGCAGCGGACTCACGCCCGGCGGGCGGCTGCAGCAGCGGCGCCAGCGGCCGGCGCCCGCCCGGGCAGCGCGAGCTGGGGCGGGAGCAAGGGGCGGGGAACAGATGAGCGCGCGCACGCGCGCGCGGTGTCCTGAGAAGTGCCCGGGAGCGACTTAGACTGTTAAAGGGGCAGTGCCTTCAAGACTGTAGGGCCCACCAGCCGGGCACGGGAAGCTAGGTTGCGGGGGGCAGAAGGACGAGCTGGACTCTTGAATTCAGAAGGATTATTGGCGCCTGAGGAGCCCAAAAGGTGGGGGCGGGCCTTGCAGAGGAACCCAGGCCCAGACCCCGCGCACGTTGCCGTCGGCGGCGGCGCGCTCACCGGGCGGAGCCGCTCGCCTTGCCCCGCCCAGGAGGAGGCTCAGTGCAGGCCCCGCCTTCAGGCGCGCGGTGCCGGTCGGCTCCTCCCTCGACCAGTCACCTCCTCAGCTTCACTTCCCACGGGGCCTAGCGTTCTAGAATTCGAGGCGCCCCTGCCTCAGGTGCTGTGGCCAAGAGCAGTCAGCGGCGGCATGGCCACACCGACGCTCCGTCCCTACCTGGCCCTCAAGTTGGGCAGGGCCGGCCGCCGCCTCAGGCCCAGGCCACCCCTCCCGACCCAGCCTGGCCCCCACAGGGTTCACACTGTCCCTCAGGCCACCTTCCCTCCTCAGACTCCCAGCTTTGTCCCCAGGGTTGGCTGTTCCCGAAGGCCTGGCTACGCGCCCAGCCTACCTGTCAAGGGTCCTCTTACCGCGCTCAGGAGAAGCCACACACTCAGCCCTGGCCCTTCCCTCCATACAGGACTACCGCCCCCCATCCCCACAACCCTTAGCCCAGACCGAGCCCTCATCTGCCTTGTCAGACACACTTTGCCCTCCGAGCCCTTGACTGTCTTCTGGGGGATCAACTGTTGAGTACTTGGTCTAGCTTCCTTAAGCTCCATTCTTTTCTTTCTCTTAGATCTTGGTCTCCCACTTAGACCCAACTACAGGAGGTCTGAATGTCCCTCAGCTGCCAACTGCCCCGAGTTCAGCTTAGCCCCTCTGCTCCAGGACATCCCATTTAGACTCCTCCTGCCTTTTCAGCACAACCTCTGCTCTAAGTACTCTCCTCTCTCCCCTCCTCTCTCTCTCTCTCTCTCTCTCTCTCTCTCTCTCTCACTTGGCCTGTTTTCTCAGCCCCTCCTTAGTTGCCCTTGGGAAAAGCTACCAATTGGCCTTTTCTGTTACTTATGCTTCCTACAGGCACTCTCCCAACTAGCATTCTTAGCTTCTTTTTCTGCCCACCCCAACTGGCTCTCAGGTTATACTTGGCTTTCCCTAATTCTGCCTCTGTGCAACTGACTTTGCTCACCTTCTTTACCTATAGACATTCCCACTAGCCCCTTCCTTTCCTGTCACCAATCCACCACTCTGACCACACATAACTTTCATTAACCCCACATACCTGATTTTATTTTACCAACCCTCAATTCTCTAACTCTAACTGCCCCAGCCACCAATTCTATACCACAACCCACATATATCTGTCCTATCTGGTTTCCACCTGTCATCCTTTTTCATTTCATCATCTTGTATTGCCAAGAAAGTCACTTAACTGCCATTTGTAAATTTCATTTCCTCTATACATTTGACTTCAGAAACTTTATTTTCCCCTTTATCTTTTACCACATTCACATTTCCTGGCTCTCCATCTTTAACCTGTATATTCTTCAGCTAATAGAAATGTGCAGTCCTGGCCGGTGTGGCTCAGTGGATTGAGCAACAGCCTCCAAACTGAAAGGTTGCCAGTTCAATCTCCAGTCAGGGCATGTGCCTGGGTTGCGGACCAGGTCCCCAGTTGGGGGTGTGCAACAGATCCATGTTTCTCCCCCTCTCTTTCTCCCACCCCTCTCCTCTCTCCAAAAAAATAAATAATAAAAATCTTTAATTGAAGAAGAAGAAAAATGTCCAGCACTAGAAATACCTTTTAAGCTCTTTCATTTTTTAGGGCCCATATATACTCCTTCCAGTCTCTAGATATGTTACTAGTTTCATCCCTACAGCCATTACATGAGTGAATGATTCAGTTTTCATTATCTTCCCAGCACCAATGAAGAGATTGAGTCCAACCACCCAGCCCAGTCAAGTCATGCAGGTACTCAAAGATGGAGACAACCTTATCCCCTTTGCCAAGTGAGTCATCTCCACCTAGTGGGGAGAATGGGGATGGAATGGAAAGAAGATTGCATGCTTGGGTTCTTTCCTAAAAACAGTTGGAAATAAGGACCAAGAAGCTCAATGCCTGGGCGCAGGGGATTGATGAGTCATTAATTTAGTCAACAAATGGTTTTTGAACACTACATTGTTCTAGGCACTGTATTAGGCACCAGAGTTCAGCAATTATAAGGACAGGTTCCTGCTCAAAGAGCTTACATTCTAGAAGGAGGAGACAGAATATGGAAATAAATATAATTTCAACTAGTGATAGGTACCATGAAAAAAAACCAGGAGTGTAATACATGGGAAAATAGAATGTCATGGAGACATAAGTTTAGATAAGGTGATTGTGGAAGACTTCTAGGGAGGTGAATTTGAATTGAGATCTGAAAAATGAGAAGGGGCCAGTCTGATAAGAACCAGGGGGAAGAAGAAGGAATAGTAGTTGGTTTTTTTTTTAAACCCAAGAAAGAAATGAGCTTGGTATATTCTAAAACCAGGAAGCAGTCCAGTGAAACTGAAACTTAAGGGGTCAAGGGAAATATGGAGAGTAAAGTCAGACAGGCAGAGGACCTATGAGGCCGTTGAAAAAGTTTGGATTTTATTCTAAGGACAGTAGAAATCAATGGAAGTTTTTAAGCAAGGGAATGACATTAGCAGACTTTTTTTCCCTCCAACTTTTTTATTACGGAAAATTTCAAACAAATACAGAAATAGAGAAAGTACTAATCATGAACCCACTGTACCTTTTTCAGTCAGCTTCAATAATTGTCATTATATGGATAATCTTTTCATTTGTACACCCATGCAGCCTCCTACCACTCAGATTTTTTAGAAACAAATCTCAAACTATAATGCAATTCACATGATCATTTTAGAAAGAGTACTCACACTGCTTTGTGAAGAATAGTTTGGAGGGGATTTAGATGGAAGCAGGGAGAGAAGGAGGAGGCTACTGCAATAGTCCAGGCAGGGGAAGATGAGCTGGAATATGGGAGTGGGAGAGGAAATGATGACTAGTCAAATTCGGGTATATTTTTAGGTGTAGAACTGTCAGGACTTGCTGATAGATTGGATATAGGAGGTGAGGGAAAATGAGGCATACCAGGCTTTTGGCTCTAGCAACTGGGCATTTGGGGTGTCTTTCAGTGAGATGGGGAAGGGTAGAGAGGAGATATTGAATGGGCAGTTGGACCTGCAAGTCGGAGTCCAGGAGAGGAGCCAGGGCTGGGAATACAGATCTGGGAGTCATCAGCACATTGGTGGTATTTAAAGTTATGGAGTGAAAAATAAAGGCATGGGCCTGGCTGAGATCTCTTAAGGAGAGATGGAAATGGAGAAGATAAAGGGCTGAGGCCTAAATCCTAGGACATTCTCCTTCTAGAGAGCAGGAGAGCAGTCATCATTCAGTTTGTGAGCTTTGGAAGTGATGAGCACTGTTCTCAAACAGCTCTGCACATCCCTCAGTGTGTATAAGGATATTAGTCTTTCTGAGATAGAGGAAACAAAACAGGAGTAAACAGAGGTTCTGCTCTCCTGGATCCTTGCATTAACCAAAAGGAACCTTTTGTGTGTCATCACCTGAGTAGCTGGGGCCTTCCTCTTGAACAGCCTTGCTTGCTAAATATGATGTTTTCTGGTTGTGGAGTGTAGAAACTTGAGATTCAGTGAGATCATAGACTCAAACAGTTGCTAATCTTCACCCTCATCTCAGGTCCAATATCCTTTCAAATCAGAGGCTTTACCACTTTCCTCAGCTAAAATGGATTGAGGACATGGCCTTGAAAGAGCCTGGGCAGCTGTATGGCCTCATGGAAAGACAGGGCCTCTGGATCTCTAGGGTGAGTAGATGCTATGCGGAGACAGCCAGACCCTAGCCTACTTCTTCTCACCTCAGGTGTTCCAGGGTGGTCAGCCGATCTCCACTGGCCAGCTTGCCTTCCCAGAGCCTCGGACTGATGCCCCAGCATTACGGAGACATCTTCTGGGACAACCTTAGTCAAAGGCCCAGGTGGGTAGAAATGGAGAAAATGGGGACTAACTTGAGGTGGGAGGGTGATACAGTTTTAAGCAACTATACAATTTTTAACAACCACAAGGCTTTAGAACAATATGTACTACTCTGAGGATAATTGCCCCACTGGCTGGCTGATGGACATGGTAGCTCCTAGTGCCTCATAGACAAGAGGTTGGGAGGAGTCATTAGAGAAACAACATTGATAGGGTGCCCTCTCTGCATTTAACCCCCGTTTTGTACTCTACAGCCCCACCTGGATGGAAGAACAGTACATCCCACCCCTGCTGGTATGACAGACTTTCTGCCCTTCAACACTTCTCAGTTAAAATTGTACCCCATGCCATCCTATCCCCAGCTCTCCTTATTACCCCTTCCATGTACTGTCCCCCAACCAGAGCACTGGACAGGCCCTCCTTTCTATGAACCAATCAGCATGTTTTCCAGATCACAGCTGTTTTTGTGATCTGGGCTTCCTAAGACCCCTGACGCCCTGTTTCAATCCAAGCTCCCCTGGGAGTCCCAGTGCCATCTACCTCTTTTTCCCCCATTCCCTGGCACAGAAAGCTACTGGTTGTTCCCAGCCTGGCATGTACCCCCTTGAGGGTCTCCCACCTCGTGAGATGCTTTGCAGAAGAAAGAGGAGGCAGCCATATTTGACAGGAATGCAGCAAGGACCTGGGGGCATCCCAGCCCGAGTAAGGGCTGTCACTTATCACCTAGAGGATCTAAAGAGGCGGCAGAGAATCATCAATGAGTAAGGAGAGACATCTGGGCTCTGAGAGCCAAGCAAGGGTTGGAGGCAGAAGGATTTGAACTAAGGAAGGGGTGGAGAGTTTTGAAGGAATTGGAAGGAGGTCAGAAATATATCATGGACTTGGTGGGTGTTGGAGCAGAACTTCCACAATGAGGAAGGAAGGAGCTAAGGGATGAAGGTGAGCCACATGAGCTGGAAGAAGTAGAAACTGGATCACTGATGACAGGAAAGCACTCTATAGAACTAGAAGATAGTGGGGAGCTAGAGGTCACCTCTGCGTCCTTGAACTAAACATAGTTCAGTCTGAGGGGAGCAGAAAGTTGGGAGCAGAGAGTTGGAAGTTAAATGACAATACCCCTGGGTCCCAGCAGTAAGTGTCTTAGGGCAGAAAGGTGAAGAATGAAGGGACAGGAAGCCTGGCCTACAGGTGCCTCTTTACTAAGCCTGAAGTCTCCACAGACTAAAGAAGGCCCAGTGGGGCAGCTCTAGGGCTGCATCTGAGCCCCTGCTGTCTGGTGAAGTTGGCTGTAGATTCCCCAGCACCACTGAACACCCTGATCTGGAAAAGAAGAGGGCAACCTATCCACGGAAAGAGGACCACTTTCTCCCTCCTGGAGGGGCCCAGGTATGGCTGGAGAGGAACTTGGTGGGGGTGATAAAGGGTAATGTGAATGCCTAGTTGTGTTGTGACCATCCAAAACCCTGCAAGTTGATGGTATTCATGCAGGTGGAAGAATATTCATAGCCATTGGGATGTCTGGCATGCCTTTATTCACGGGTAGGTGAGCCATGCATGCTGCACATCTCCCTGCATGTCACATGTCGTGGCCCCTGCTCCGTGACATGTCTCCCAGCAGGGAGTTCCTACCTGCTTAAATAAAAGAGGTGAACAAAGCCTGCAAGATGCCAGAAATTATATAACATAACAATTCTGCGCATGTGAGCCCACTTCATGTTATGGGAACAGTTTATTGAACCCAGTCTCAAGGCTATGAGAACACTAGTTATCAGGCCCCTCCAAGGCTATGGGGACACAGCTTCCCTTAGCTACCCAGACACCTGGGTGAGGAAGCCAGCCTGCCTCCACTCACCTTACACTGGTCTTGCATGGAGAGACAGCTGAAGCCAAGAGCCAAGTTGAATTGCTGGATTTGAGGGGAACAATAAAGTAGGGGGGAATCAGAGGCTCTATCAGGAGGCCCTGAATCAGAGGGCGGAATCAGGGGGGTATCTCGGTTTGAGCATTAGGAAATCTGGAGAGAGACATACTTTTTTATTCTTTCTTTTTTCAATTTCTCTCATCTTTACAGCTGCTTTGGCCCCCCTGGAATCCCCTGGTCCAGGAAGGATCTTGTCTCTCCAGGCAGTTGAGCTCTCTACCCCGCTACAGCACTGTCACAGCCAGTAGGAACCCCCTTTACAGTCCCTGGGGGATGGAGTTCCAGTCTGAGGAGTAAGGAGAAACCGTCCGTGGTCATCCAACACACTTGCGCTGCCTCAAGGACCCAAGCCTCCGTCTCGCCGCTGGACCTCACCCCCTAAGGAAGGCGTCCGGGCACTTCCCCTTCCTTAGCCTCCCCCAGCTTCCTCTCCCATCTTCTGCACCAGGCACTCACAGCCCCCCCTGGGCCACCCACCTCAACCCACCCCTTTCACAGGAGCTCTCCAAGGCCAATTGTCATCCAGGCCTGGCTCCCTGGCAGTGTTCTCTTCTCTGTTTTATCATTAAAAAGCAAACAAGTTGAGCCCAGAGTTGTCTTTTTCTCTGGAAGTAGTGATGGGATAAGCTAATGGAAAGAACTCAGCTAGAGTGAAGCCGGACTGGGTCCCCCAAATTCAAGGAGTCCTGCCCACCAATCCAGCAATCCTCACTCAGTACGGGGCGGCCGCCGGCACCCCACTCTGCCGGCTGGAGGGTCAGCGCCAGTCGGCTACGCTCCCGCTTCTGGGACCCCGGAACCCAACCCCTCCATACTGCTGCACCCTCAGGGATTTGCTGGCAGCCGGTCCCTCCACCAGTGTCCCCCTCCCCCGCGACTCTGTGCTGCACCCAGGTTCCGTTCCTGACCCCCTTCCCCTTAATTGGAAGGCCCCGCCCCGTGCGCAGTGACGTCGGACGCCGCTGTCAGCCGGCACTGGGGGGGGTTCGGTGTGGGGTAGAATGGCCGCTGCTGCCGTCACCTGCGGGACCCCGGGAGGTAAGAGCCAGGACCTTTTGCCCGCCTCTGCCTCCGCGCCAGGGGGCGCAACTCCACCGGCCCAAGCGTGGTGCTCCGCGCGGGAGACCACTGCTCCTCTTCGGGTTCGCCCGCACGGCCCGCTTCCGTCCTCCTCCCCCGCGCCAGGGGGCGCCGCTCCGCGTAGGGCCCCACCGCGGACCTGCCGTAATGGCACTGCCTGGGAGACCCCCGTACCCCGCTGCCCCTCGCCCCTCGCCCGCCTCCGCACCCTGCTCCGCTGTGTCTCCAGGACATCCATCTCTGTGGGAGGGAGGCAAGACCCTCCCACCTCCAAGCTTCTCCCAGGACCACCACCCCACCTTATGGGAGCGCCCCCAGCCGGTTCCGCACCCTTGCAGGCGGCCTAGCCCAGGTTGCGCACCTGTGCCGGGTGGCGGAGTCCATACCCCAACCCACGCAGCGGAGCTCGCAGGGGCCTCCCCCACCCCACGTCATCCTTGGACACCTGGCGGAGCCCGCGCTGAGAGCCTCCTCCAGCTTCCATCTGTTTCCCCAGGAGGGTGGGAGCTCGGGCTGGAGCCAAAGTGGTGGATGGTGTAGGGTAGGCGTGGAGGCCAGGGGAGAAGGAGGCATTTGGGAAGGGTGGGGAGAAAGGTGGGTAAGAGGTGGAGAGGGCTGTCAGCCTCTGCGTTGTCCTGAGGGTGGGAAGCTGGGTCCTGGGTGTCTAGCCCCAATTGTACTAGGCCTTGACCGCATGTACCCGAGAGAGAGAGGGGTCAGGGTAGGTTATCAGATCTGTCTTTCCTCTTGGAAAAAATCAAATAGAGAAGGAACTCAGGGTGTGTCTTCTAAGGCCTAGCTCTCCGCTCGGACTCAGATCTCCTGCCCAACCCCCAACGCCCAGCATCCAGCCTTCCCTTTGCCAAACTAGTCTCCAAGGACCGAATGGCCTGAGTTCCAGGTCCCCAGGACCTGACCCCACTGAAGCCCCAGCCTCCTCAAGGGCGCACGCTGTAGGACCCCAGCCCTGCCAGCCTCCCCCTCCCCCACCCCGCTCTTCCTGATTACACTGTAGTGTCTCCCCACTCACGTTGGTTCGTGGCACCATGTCTGCGTTCTCCCTCTCCCCCATTCCTTGGCTCTACTCTCACATCGGAGCTGATCCCATTCCTCTTCCTCATCTTTTCCAGGTATCACTACCCAGTTCTGTACTCCCTCTCCCACCTCATCCTCCTCATCCTGGCTAAGTGTGGGGGGCTTCTGCCATGACCTGTTCTCTCTTCCCCCAGCACAGACTCCCCCTCCCCCCGGCCCCTCAGGCCCGGGGTGACCTTGCCCCTGGAACCCTCACCATGAGTACCAAGGACACCACCGAGGTTGCTGGTGAGTTCACAATCCACGTTCCCATTTTGGGCACGACCTTTCTTTCTCCCTGCCCCATGGTGACTGTAATTCTTGGATTCTTGTCATTTGAACTTCCTCCCAGTGCTCTGCTTCAGCCCTTTGCCCTGGAGCTAGCATACTAAGCCCTTCCTTCTAATTCCCTCTAGAGAACAGCCACCACCTGAAGATCTTTCTCCCCAAGAAGCTGTTGGAGTGTCTTCCTCGCTGTCCGCTGCTGCCTCCAGAGCGGCTACGGTGGAATACAAATGAGGTTTACTAGGGAGGGTGGGGGATTAGGGCCCAGCAAGGTCTGGTGAGCTAGAGGAGGATGAGCTGGGGGCCTGTCTTCATGTGTCTGTGACTCCCAAGCGCAGAGTACTGTTATGGGCTCTGTGGGGATCATAGGTGAGGTATAAAGACCTGCATCTTGTAGGAGCTCACTTCTTGATCTATATCCACCTGAGTAAAAATAATGGTTACCACCTTTATAGTATTTCTTACTGTAAACTGGACACTGTGCTAAGCCCTTGACCTATATTACCTCATTTAGTTCTCTAACAATGCTATAGAGCAAGCATTTTTATCCTCGTGGTATAGATGGGTTTATCTAAGTCACTCCAGAGCTCCTACTTTTTTTTAACCACCACTGACTTGGGCTCCTTCTGGAGGGCACAGTCCTGTGTTACACACCTTCAGTACTCCCCACACCCAGTGCTTTGTACGTACTTGGTGAATGATCATTATTGATTTGATTATTTGATTAGAAGACAGCTGTCAGTGAAAAGGTATGTGTGTGGTATTATAAATGCAGGAAGGGCTGGGGAGGCAGCAGGGCTCCTGGAGATCTGGGAAGGGGTTCGGTCTGTAGGATAGCTAGGATTTCCAGACTCAGAGAGGTCTGTACATGGCACTTGGGGCTGGTAGGGCACATTGAGGAGGTGACTGCTCAGAGCAAGTTCAAGGAAAAATCAGTGGACCGGTGGTCTGGCAGGACTGGTAGGTGCAATATGTATAAATAGTGTGAATGATGGTTTGATCCCTGGTCAGGGAGGACCATGGAGTCAGGCTGAGGAATCCGGAATTCCCAGCAGTGTCAAACCATTGAAGTTTTCTGAGTCAGGAAGTGGCACAAAAATGGAATTCAGAGAGAGTAAAATAATATAGAGTACGAACAAAGAATGACGAAGAGCTTGAACCGGACCCCAAGATAAAAGCCCCAGTTGGAAGGGAGGGAAGGAGCGGTTAGACTTTTGTCAGCTGGGGTTCTTAGGAGGGCAGTGGGCATTGCTGGGTCCAGATACCTGGCAGCAACCCCCACTAGCTGCCAGGACTCAGCAGGGACTGAGACAGGGTGACCGAAAGGCCAGGCTGAGAGGATATGAAGGGGCTACCCACCCGCGTACCTCTTTTCCTCCAGGAGATTGCATCCTACTTGATCACCTTTGAGAAGCATGATGAGTGGCTATCCTGTGCTCCAAAGACGAGGTGAGTAAGGTTGTGAAGGTGGGGAGTGGCAGGGCTCCTGGGTCCTGTTCACAGAACTCAAGGCCTCAGCACTTTCCTCTTCAGGCCTCAGAATGGTTCCATTATCCTCTACAACCGCAAGAAGGTGAAATACCGGAAGGATGGTTACCTCTGGAAGAAGCGGAAGGATGGGAAGACCACCCGAGAGGACCACATGAAGCTGAAGGTCCAGGGCATGGAGGTAAGCAAAGCATCCAACTCATCTGCCCTGGCCCATCCTTCTCCATCCTTAGCTGGGTTCCACTCCTGCCAGGGCTTGGTGCCATTGTCCCCCTCACCACCCTCCTTTCTCACTCACTCTGTATCATCTGGCTGATAGCTTAGCCCCCCCTCCACATCCCATTTCCCTCCACATCCCAACTCTCCGAGCCTTAGGCCATGCTTCCCCTGGAGGACACCGGTGTCCAGTGCCTCCATCTCTCTTACATTTCTCTCAGGAGTCTAAGTACTGAACCTCTAAGCGTAGGTTTCTTTTCCCCATATCGTTGCCCCTCATGTCAGATGTGCTTTTGCCCTGCCCTCCGTTGTCTAGATAGGCTCATATCTCACATGTGGTCCTCGTTGTAAGGCCTCAGTCCCACTGTTCCCTGGTCCTGCCCCTCATCTATGACTTGGGGTGCTGGGATTTTAAAGGTGTGGGGAGTAGGTGGGGGTGGGTAAGGGTTGAAGAGGAACTGGTGGAAAGATTGGGATTCCTGCAAAGGGACTGAACAGAGGAAGAGTTGGGGAGCAGACTAGCCCTCCCCCCACCCCAGCCTGTCTCCTGGCAGTGTCTCTATGGCTGCTACGTTCACTCTTCCATCGTCCCCACATTCCATCGGCGCTGCTACTGGCTGCTCCAGGTAAGGATGGAAAAGCTCAGGGGGCCACACTCTTCCTGGCTCTTTGAGGGAGATGGGGTCTGAAACAATGCAGTGGAAAGATGACTAGGTTCTGAGTGGGAAAAGGAGCCTGGGGAGATAGGGAGGTGGGGATAGACAGAACCAGAAATTGGGGATGAGGTTGGGAGGATGCCCAGGAAGAAAGTGAAGACTAGGAAGCTGAGCCCCTGGATCTCAGGACCCCATGGTGCTCTGTGTGTGTACCCTTGTGCCCTCAGAACCCTGATATCGTCCTTGTGCACTACCTGAACGTCCCTGCCCTGGAGGATTGTGGAAAGGGCTGCAGCCCCATCTTTTGTTCCATCAGCAGTGACCGTCGAGAGTGGCTGAAGTGGTCCCGGGAGGAGCTGTTGGGACAGCTGAAGCCCATGTGTAAGGCAGTAGGGCTAGGACAGTGGTCCAAGGGGAGAGTGGACACAGGGGCCACCCAAAGGCACCAGGAGCCTGTGGGGTGACCGTTTCCCTCCAAGCCAAGAGGGTGCTTTCCTGAGGGGGTGCTAGGCTTCCTGGTGAGCTCTTAGGTGTTGGATTGTGGAGAAGGGACAGCTGTGAACTACAAATGCAAGCAGTTTTGAAGCTGCTGGCCTCTTCGCTCCTGGCCAGAAGTCTCGGAACATCTCAGGTGCTTGGAGGAGCCATCAGGGCACTCTGGGGACGTGTGTGGGGCTCCCATAGCACTTCCCCCAACTCTCCTCTAGTTCACGGCATCAAGTGGAGCTGTGG